GTAAGATTTTATGTATCTAACGCATTTATTTGTAGACTATCGCACTTTAAGTAGTTTTTACAAAACCGTTATATCGGGAGTGAGTGGGGTTATCATCCTATTTCACCCATTTGTCGGTAGTGATGTTAAAAATATTTGCCCTGTGTGAATTAGATTTTTAAAGGGAAATTAACATTTTCGAATAATTTAGTAGCCCAATTTCACTGAACTGTTACGAAGACACGAAGACTATACGACGGGGTTTGTCATAGATTAGGTCGTTAGCCGATCCACGCACCAAAGGAAATGCAGGATACCACTAGAACAGCTGGGGTCCTTCAAGATTCTCAAAACTCTCAGATCACCAGTCCCTTATAGACCTACGAAACGCTTTGCGTCAACCACAAATTTGTTAATCTGATTAATAAATATCAATCCCAGCAACTTCTTCAGGTTCGCCGAAAGTGTGTCTACCGAGATATTTTAACTTCAGTCTGCCTAAGGCTGGACAGTTGAGAATAAAGCATTTAGATGATACCACCTCGCGTTCTTCCATACCGGTTGTGCATTTTATGTCTGACAAGATAAGTAACCTCACCGCATGGGAGCGTATTGGACAGCATATTAGATAGCAAAGTACCGAATCGTTGCCAATCTGATTAATTTGGGGAGAGAATGTCCTCTCCAACAAGCTCATCGACTTTGCAGTTTCCAAGGATTCCGCTAGGACCAGGCACCCAAACAAGTCGGATAACAAAGTAGCTTGATGCTACTGATAAAGAGGTCAAACACTCCTTACCTAGTATTGAGCGCACTGTCGAGTTCACGGCCAGTATTGCAGCTCTGCTATTGGAGTGAATGTTTGTGGTAACATTTGTAGGTGGTGTAAATTAAAGCCCAGATTTCGAATAAAAGTAGTCCAAAATAGTATTTGAATAACAACAACTTTGCTCAGCTCAAATATTGATTTTTAAATATATTTTTGGTAACACAAATTGGCTAAAGCATATAAAATATAAATTTAATAAAAGCTTGAGTGCTTCCTTAAATAAAGATAGGAAAAAACGTTAACTGCGGCTGCACCGAAGCTATAATATCGGTCAGTTTAAATGGCAGCTATTCGAAAGTTACAGCATTGCCTTGGACAATAATCTGTGCAATACAAGTATTTCGTAAAGATATCTTGAAAAAAGTTTTTCATACAGGGACGTGAGTTTAATCGGTTAGTTTGTAAGGCAGGTATATGCTATAGTAGTCCGATCTGAACAATTTCCTCGGAAATTATAGCGATACCTTGGATAATAAACAGTGTCAAATTTCGTGAAGATATCTTGTCATGGGCAGAAAAGGGTGGTATATATACTACATACGTTCTCCGAGGTTTCAAAAGCGCTGCTAAAATGTAAATAATGGTTTTAGGCAGGTTTGCTTTGATTAGGAATAATATATACCTGCATTTTCCAAATTTCTATCATATAAGGACAAATGTAAACTTAGAAGAAATTCTTAAATTTTTAAAACAAATTTAGTAGAAAAAAAAAATTTCGCCTCGAACATGTGAAAGAAAAAATAACATTTTCGTCATAAAAATATAGTGGCAACACCGTCTACCACATATTTACATTTCCTTTTCAATCGACAATTTGCCATATTCGAGCTCTCGCATACATATTTCCACATTCGCTTTTGTACTAACAATTATAATTTGCAATTTACGCACATACAGTGATCGTCAATTTAACATTTGCCTTCGATGCATCGAAGTGTGCCTATACACACAAACAAATTTACGTTGATATTTACCCATGTAGGTGTATGCTACCTGCCTGCACAAATTCTAAGGATAAATATGTCTATTTAAAGACACTCATGGTTGTCAACACTGTCACTCAGCGCGTGCAAATTCTATGGATCCATGTAAGTATATTTGTCTGTTTGTATCTATGTATCTATGTATGTGCGTATGTGCATTGATATTAGTATTTCTTTGTTGTATGTGTATTTACATAAGCACTTTAAATAAATGCCAACAACTACACAAATAATGAATGCAATGCAAATGTCAGGTGTGTTTGTGTTTATGCACTTAAATGGGTGTGTGTGTGTGTGCGTGTGTGAAAAGAATAGCCAGTTGCATTTGGCTTTGCACAAATCTGGCTAATAACGTGACTGGCATGGCCAATAAGACGAGGCACACGTTAATTTCCAAAGCATTTGCCCGCAAAAGAGGATATAAATAAATATGTAAATATTTGTGTATGTATGCGTATAAATATGAATGTATGTGATGTTGAGCGCGCACACTTTATTTGAATGATTTGTGAACGCGTAAGTAGTAGCTGCCTAGCCCCAGTGGTTTGTCTTCCATAGCGGCACCCAAACTCTGATCTTTAATACACACACACACATGCATAATTATATATGTATATGTAAATATATATATATATATATATGTCTACATAACAACAAATGTGAACTTTATGCGAACGGAGCGGAAGACACCGAATGATCGAGCAAAATGATAAATCAAAGTAATTTATAATGGAAGCGATTGCAAACGCAATTCCTTTGATTTAAATGACAGTTTCATGGCTTCGTAACATTTATTTTGTTAAACATTTATCACACAATTAGCTAATAACAGTGTGTATTATAAAATATGTTTTGCTTCGGCAGCTGAGTCCACGTTTCAGTTTGTAAGGCTAGGATATGGGACATAGAAGAATAAGAGTTGTGTGATGACGTTGACAATAAGTAATCTGATCGTCAATGATTCTAGCTATCTTTGACTACAGAGTCAAAGAGTAGCGAATCGAAAAAACTGGCAGCATTTATGATTCCTCCTTGCTCTTTGTCCTTTGGCGCATTCAGAATTATCTCCTTTTAGTGAAAAAAAACTTCTCAAGTAACATATTAACCCCTTAGTTTTGACGAATACATGCGTTACGTTTTCTATAAACCATTATATTTTTTTTTAAATCTTAAGGGGTACACCTAGTGTGAAATGTTGAAAAAAATTATTTATCAATATAGCATACTAAAATTTAAATTATTATTTTAAATATATTTGGAGTTACAAGCTTCTGAATTGTAGCCACTTATTTCAATCCTGTTCTAACTGTTAATCTTAAATAGCATTTTTCGAATTCAATGCAGCGATTATAAGGAGGAAGACAGATGATCCGATCACACATCAATTTTTTCTGCATGTTCTGTACGTATGTATATGTCCTAGTAGTTTTTTGAAATTATCAAAAATCGAATTTTGGTAAAAAATTTAAATTTCTAAAATCAATAAGCAAACTTCACTAACTAATAATAAAGAATAACACGAATTCTGCTCATCTCGTTGACAGTCATGTCTAAAGAGATTATATAAAAAATACAATGAATTGCTTTTGTTACACCTTTGGTTAGTTTACGATATACCTTTACTTCTATAAATAATTTCAAACAGATATCAGTTTATAGGGTTTAGGAAAGCTTATAAGGAAACAAATCGAACAAGCTGTCTTCCAAATACTAGAGCCATCAAAAAGCTGTTTTACGGTTATAATTAAAAAGTATGTAGCTATATGACAGCAGTCTATCTTGTATATAAACTTATGATAAACATAAATTTTCCTGGCACGAAGTCTTATCACCGAACTCTTCCTTTGCCTTTTTCCAATTTTTTAAGAAATTGACTTGAGCGCTGATATAGATTATATCCACACTTTATTTCTTTTTAAAATGGAGCGTAATACCAAAATTCTTATTTATAATGAATATACATTTTGAATGCCAACTACAAAGTTTCTATAAGAATATTTTCAATGCAATCAAAATATTTTCTGTTCCAGTTAGTAATTGAACGTTTCAAAGATAATACATGTACATACGTGCACAAAAAAATGCAAAATCATAAAATAAACGAGTGTTTGTCATTCTTATCACATTTTCACTTTGCACAAATTATGGGCTGAGGTATTTATGCCAAGAACAAACGCAGTCACTGTCATTAAACGAACCAAAACTAATTACATATATACATATAATCATAAGTATATCGGGTGGTCAAGTGAAAAAAACGAACTCCCCCACATGCAGCCTGAGCACTAGGGGTGTACTTTTTAAAAAATATAACAAAAATTTTTGAGCAAAGACATCGAAACATTTCGAATAGGTGATTGTAGACCACTTTTGATACAGATGGGTGTACACAATTAATTTTTATTTATTTTTAGCAGGTTGATGCAGAGCCACAACATCGAGTTGGAAGTTTTGTATTGATGAGCATCAGTCAAGTTTACTGTTCAACGTGTAAAGAAAGCCTGAGTTTTGTTTGATGTTTTCTTATATTCAAACACCAGGGAACAGTGTGGCTAAATTTTGGTGTAAAAGGTAGTACTTTAATTGAGTTAAGGGGCATTTTTTATCTGGCTTGAAGCGGAACTCTAAAAGCAGCGAAAAAACTCGATTTTGCGGTGCAAAAGCACTATTTTTTATCAGTTTAAAAAGTTTTAGGCCTTAAACAGTCCCAAGTAATTAAAGTAAAATTATTTTTGACAATTACTGAAAAGCACATGTAAATAAAAATTTGGTTATTTTTTAAAATGAAGGTGAATTTTGAAGGTTTATTTAATCGAAAGACCTTTTTTATAGATGTCTTTTTATTACTTTTAAATGAAGTAGGGAAAAGAAACCTGGTAAGAGACAGTTCACACATGTTCAAAAACAAATTCTGATAAAAAGAGCACACCTAATGCACACTCACTTTCGAATGCAGTGAAGTATGAAGTAATATATAAATAGGCATATATGGGAAAATATGTATATAAATATGTAGGAGTGTATGTAAGAAGACAGCAAATTATGCAAATGGGCAACATGCGATGCATATTAAATGCAACACTTAGTCGATAAATGCAAAGTTTGCATTTTAATAAGACATATTGCCATTGCTTTTAATTAATCTACAAATTTTGAAGTTTTGATTTTTTTCTATATATATTTTTTTTTTGATAAAGAAGAAAACTCACCTCGATTAGATTCTTTAGGAAAGTCACTCGCCGATTCTTTTTCAGACGCATGCTGCCGCTGGCGTTGTTGCTAGTATTACCGTTGTTGCACAAAATCGAATTGGTGTTGTGATTGTTGTTATTGTTAGCACTAATATTTTGATTATTATTATTATTTATAATTGCACTAGCACTTACACTGGCACTATTATTGTGATTGTTGCTGTTGTTATTTTGATTACTATTACTATTGTTGTTGTTTGTATTATTTTTATTGAATAGGTAATTGGTGTTGAAATTAAGTATCTCACTGAAGTGAGCGTTATTCTTCTGATAGAAGGAGGCCGTTGCAGTTGGTAGCATAAATCTGGTAGTTGGCAACTCTGTTTTACAAATCGCAAGTTCCATATTGTGCAGGCATCTGTAAAGAAAAAAATATATATCAGAACAATTGTGGCTAAAGTTTTAAAAAAAGTTCAAATTAAAATACAGTTTCAAGAATTTTATTTTCAATTTTGAATCATGAATTTCTGTCATTCTACGTAATTTGATTTTGTTATCTGATTTTGTGAGTTTAGATTTCTTATTGTTCGAGTTAGCTGGCTAGTAGGAAACTTTTCACTTTTCAGCAGATTTTAAGTTTCGGCAAACTTTGACCATTGTAAACTATGATAAGGTTCAAGCACTCACCGTCAGATCAGAGTTTTTGTAATCCCTTGCAGACTTTCAGCTCTTGTAATTTTAGAGATGAAACAAAAGCATGTCTTTAGGCACATACCTTAAAACTACCGAAGATTTTAACAATAAAACATATATTTATCAAAATATTTAACATATTACGACGAACGAGACCTCAAAGGACCCACATAGGAGTAAAGACTACGAATTCGACCTTTTTTGCGTTGGTCGAAATATACCAATATATATATATATAATATATATATACATAAGAATTAAGACTTGAGTTAAATATAGAATTAGAAAGTTATTATTCTATTGAATATTCTAGAGTAAAAAGGTTCTCATATAAATTAAAACAATAGCTTATATAATATTAAAAATGTTGACGAGAGAATAAATAGGGAGAAAAATATAAGAAAGACGGTTTTGAAAATTTCGTTTCGAAATATATAGTCTACCAAGTGATTAGGTCATCTGCTCAAAACAAAATATTTTTGCAAACTGATTCAAGGCTGTTTTGGTCCAGTTTGGAAACATTATCTAGCATAATCTCATAAAAATTGTATAGCACATGTGAGGAGAATTTTATGAAAGAAGTCAAACACATCCGAAATTTTGATTGGACTACAATTTAACCAAAAAATTATTGTTTTTTGTTTATATTGACGTTTTAAAAACATGGCTCACAATCTGTGTCCGATTTTTTTCCAGTGCTTTCAAATTAAGAGAGGATCACTTTCAATAATAAATATACCGGTGTACAGTTTACTTTGCTTAATGTAGGGATCATTTTCCAGACAAAGATGTTTTAGCTTTTTGTTAATTCAATATGTTTTTCCCACGATCGTTAATAGTAACTAACACGAGAATGCATATGCATTATAGGTATATAGTATCTACTTAAATGAAACTGATACGCATAAAAGTTTTGACAAAAATAAGAATGCCGATTTTTTTAAGTAGAGAAAACAACTCTTAGGATTGTCCTAAAAGTTTTGCCAATAAATTAGATCACGTTTCATCACTGTAAAGGATTGTAGCCTACTCAGAGTAGGCTTTTTTCGACGAAGCATATGAATATATATGTCGAAAAACGACGGGAGAAACGTAGCGTTCTCCGAAAAAAAACAACAATTGATTAGTCTGACGACATTTTTTTATTTTGACCCATCAGCGTTCTATTGAGTGGTTTCCTACCCTTGCCTTCCCCTAACGAATAATTTGAGAGCAAAACAAAAGCTGAGCTGAAATTACTCGTGGTAAGAAAACTTTATAGAACAAAAAGACACGCACAAGAAACTTAAAGTTATCAGTTCAAGTTGAGTATTATAGCGCTATTTCTGACATAACTATGTTGGTATTTCGAGGCAAAGCTTAATAACAGTCATAGTGCATATGGATTTTAGTCGCCCCTTACGACAGGCATACCTTACCGCGGGCAAATTTTAACCCCTGCCCGCTGGGGGAACTTAACGGGACATCGGATTTCGGCAACGCATAAGCATACCTTTAAAAATAACTTACTAAAACTGTAAATCGATTTCTAAAATAGTTTTTGAGTACAGCCTTCCAAAATGTAACCGCTCAGTTCAATCAACGGCATCGAAGCAGAATTTTTCAAATTTCCTGGAGTTATTACTCGGGAACAAATGATCCGATTACTATAAACTTTTTTCTGTATGTTTTGTATAAATTTATGTAGTTCTTCATAGAGTGACCTATCGGTCATTCATCTGATCAAAAATCAAATTGTTGCAGCCAAAAACGATCTTAATTTTGTGTAGAATTCAACATTTTTCTTAAACGCTACCATTTTGTAAATTTTTAATTTTTTTGTCGACCGTAGATCACTGTACGGAAAATATTTTGGTGAGATTTTTTTAGGTTTTTATCTACGTAGAAGGCCGAAATCAAAACAGCACATGTTCTTAGTGCCGTTGGATATCTCGTGATCTCGTGTAATCCAAAATCGGCGTTTTTAGGACGTCACAGTAGTTGTACCCTTAGTGGATACCTATTATGAAAAGTATCCACTATTAAGGAATAAAATATTTAATTTTAAGAAGCCTACCATTTAAGACACTTCTGTCGCTTTATAGGTACATGTAGATTTGCTCTCTTTAAAAAACTTTCACGATAGAGCAGGTGTAATTACTCTAAGTACACTTATTATCACCTAAGCAAATAATAAAATGTTCCATGACAATAACAGGTATATGAATAAATGTATATATGCATGTACCTGTGTATACATTGTTGTTAAATTAAACGGTTAATTGCGTATATTTTTTAGCTTTAATTTTTAATGAATTATTTGTTTTTCTTTCTTTGCGTCATTTATTACTTTTGAAAGTACAATAATTACAATGAATAAAACAATAATAAAAATTTAATATATAAAAACATATAAAAAAAAACGTAAAAAATAATAAAATAGGAATATTATCTGTAAATAACTGACATGAAATGACGTGCTAACAAATTGACGAATCCAATTGGCGTTGTCATTTAGTTTACACTTAGCCGTTAAATTTCTGCAAATAACACCTATGTACAAATTATTTGTTTACTTAAGTAATTATGATGTTTAGAGTGCTGTTTTTGTGTTTTAATTTAATTTAATTATTTCTATATTGTTTCAGACAAATTATGACCTTTTCTCAAATCAGTTGTTTTAAAAATATTTTAATTAATTTTTCAACACACAACTCAATCTACATCCATTTGAAAAGCTATACATATGTATATACATACCGTTTTACATACATATATATACATACATGTATGTGTGTTTTAAAGCTATATTATGGTTTATTTGTTGGTTCAAAAATCGGCACTTTTCAAAGTCCCCAACACCGTAATTAGTAAAGGTAAATATCGAGACAATACAAATATACAAACAATTGCGCACAACTTGATACACGCACACACAAACTCATCACATACGTACATAAAAATAGGCATTTATTGTTATTGTATGTACAGATGTGTGGGTATGCGTGCGAGTCAATACGTCAAAGCAGGCGACATCAAAGGTTATTTTGGCGGGGATGCACTGTGCACCAAATACATATTTTATTTTCATAGTTTTCTTTTAACGTTTTCCACTCATTTCACTTTTTTTCTCCATCTGCGATTGCAACTTTTTCGATCATTCGTGTAGCTAAAAATGAAAAAGTGTACAAAAAAAGGCCACAGCAAAGGTGCCGCTTTGAAGTTTTATGTTTTTAAGAGTGTGCTGTAATTCTTTCCGCACCTCTCTCGCTTTCAATCCCTCTCACTGTCCCTTTCTAACTTTAAGTAAGACCTAGCTTATAGGCAAATAATTTCATATGCACACTTACGTTTGTTTTCTTTTGACTATTTGATGGCATATTAAGCGCAGCTCATTTCAGAAATCTTGAGATCTGAGGGAATTACACGCACACATTTGTTGATAAAAGTTACACTTTACATATGTACATAATAGACAAGTATGTAATTAAAGCATCTCCGTGATTGAGAATAATTTGTTCTTCAATTATGAACCGTAATAATGTCTATAAAAAGGCGCCTGAAAAGATCGTACCAAAAGCATCAAATCCTGAAAGAAGCGTAAAACAAACGTTCCCCAGTTTGTCGGGTAGGTTTACGCAAATGAAGCGGCTCTAGTCTTATATCCGGATAAGGCGTGACTAACAACAGTAGTCCTCCAAGCAATTCGGTTGATTTTTTTTCTGCAGAGAAAGAACAATCGACTCAGATAACATAATTGACTTTGTAGCTTAGTGCACCAACACACAGATCTCTTAACTGCCGACGATGTGTTCAAATTTTATGTTACCAAGAACCCAACAGCTCTCGTTGGTTTCATGAGGCGGATAAAAACAATTACAAGGGCTTTAAGCATGAATAAAGAATCACTTGTACTGAAAATGTATAGGTAACTGCAGAAGCACGTAGTTTAATTATAAAGCGGAACTTTAACTTATTTCGGTTAAAACAAGATAAGGAAGCTCTAAAACTGGAAGCGTCTATTGTACAAATTCGCTTCTGGCGAGCATAGCGTACAAAGATTCAAAACTAGTAATAGAAGTATTAGAAAATAGTTCCGCCAAAAGAAAATATTGTGATATAAAAAATTTAATTTTGTACCCTGGAAGATATTATTACCCCATTCGGTCAACTTGTCGTCCATGGTTTGCAACTGCGGATCACCTATAGTTCCCATGATCTGTTTATTTGACAAGGTATTCAATTTGCGGCTTAGGAGATATGCACATTAAACCTTTTAGGGGGCGGGACCACCTTCCTAATGTGATCCTGTATACCAAAATAACAGTCTTGTATCTTATTGCGGAGCTTAGTTATGGCAATTTATTTGTTTTTGATTAATGGCGTTTTGTGGGCGTGGCAGTGGTCCAAATACGCCCATCTGCAATACCAACCGTCTCACGGTACCAAGAAACATGTCTACCAAGTTTCATAAAGATATCTCAATTTTTACTCAAGTTTCAGCTTGCACAGACCGATGGACGGACGGACAGACAGTCACCCGGATTTCAACTCGTCTCTTCATCCTGATCATTAATATATATAGGTATAACCCTATATAGTTTTAGGTGATACAAACAACCGTTAGGTGAACAAAACTCTTATACTCTGTTGCAACACGTTGCGAGAGTATAAAAATGTAATAGTGATCGCATCATTTGTATCCTGTAGGAAATTTGAAAATATAGTTTTGAAAAGAAGCGCATT